TACCAAAAGTAGAGTATGGCGAGCTGCGTCGAACGGCGCAAGGACGACGGTTCTAGCTTATACACTTTTTGAGGAAAGCTCAAATTACTGTGTCAAAATTGTCACAGCGTCACGCTTGGACAAGCCGAAATGTAGAATGCGTGAAAAAAGGCTAAAAAACATTTTTTTATCCATTTATATTTTTATCCATTTTATAACATTTTCACTATCCATTGCTTTGGTATAATGAGATCCATTAACTATAATTCATATATTTTTTTCATTTTCAGTAGATATATAAATTAAGAATCTTGGATAAAGAGTTTGCACGCTTTTAATAAAAGAGTGCGATTGTTTGAACTTTTGAAGCTGGAAGCACTAACAGCGTTTTGTTTTCTTCTGAAAATATTTTGGAAGAGGGATGCGATCGCACCAAGTATATCTTCTCTAAATCTGCCACTGCTTCTGATGTATGTAATATACGAAACTAAAATGTTTTAAGGCGAAGATACTTTTGAAAATTTATCGTTGTTTTTTCTCACAAAACATGGCGTCTGCTTCAATGCGTTAGCTCTGCTTCTCTTTTTTATGTTTTTAGTTTTTCACAATTTAACCATACGTTAAATAAGTAAAAGTAAGGGTATGACTAGTATATTTCCTTCAAATTCTGAATGTGAAAACATGATGAAAGAAAGAGGGGCTCGCATGCAGAATTTTCTGGAGAATATATTAGTTACTAATAAAATGAAAATTTATAAAAACCTAAAATAATCAAATCTTTTTACGTAAAATTTACTAGAAAAAGGAAACAACCTAAAAAAGTAGGAAATATAGGATAAAATTTCGAAAATAGGACAACGTAGAACGTTTTCATTAAAAAGCAGGATGTTTATGAAGTCTGTTTTTTTAATTCATATGGTATGGTAACTATCAGTTTCTTTCATAACAATGAGCAAATTTCTACTACTTAACGAATGAAAGCAAAGAGATCTGTTTCGACATATTCAAAAACAGGCTTACGAACGATTATTGTTGTTCCAATTATTTTTTCGGAAATCTGTAAAAAAAGTTAATATGTTATAGTTATAATGATAGTTAAAAGTTTTTTTTTCTGAAAAAACGTTCATTCTATTTATCGACTTTCTATACAGAGTCAAAGCTTTTTATTTCATTGACATCTAAACATTGGCAAATATAACATTTGAAATAATTAAAAAATTTGGAAACATGAACACACACATACAAAGATAACAACATCTTTGTCACTGTCATTAGTAAAAAAAAGTAAAAAAAACGTTCATTACAATTAGTATGTACAATATATATAACAAACAAATACACAAACACAGACTATTTCGATGGAGTATACAAATAGAGTGTAACACAGCACACCTTTTTTGCTTCTCGTAAAAAAGAAATAGAAACGTGTGTCTAAATTACTGAAAGTGTCTGAAAATAACATCTGAATACTGTTCAGTACAAAGGCTTCTTAATAGTAAGAAAGAATGACATTCACTTTACTACAGACTTAAAATACTCTTACTTAAACATGAAGAAATTTTAGAAGCGAATTAAAAAGAAAAAGCGGTATACTTCGCAACAAAATTTGCTAACAAGTGCAAGTTCATAAGTGACGAGGAAATCATACAAGATAGAAAACAAAACTAAATATTACACAAAAACATGGAAGACACCACAGAAAAATGGCGAAAATGTGTAAGAATAAGAGATTTTCGAATGAATGTGAAGATCATACAAAAGAAAAAGCACCACGGAGGAGAACAAAAAAAAACAGTGGACTAGGAAAATTTGGAATTATTATTTGTCATTGTTGTCGATCCTCCTCCTGAATTCATCAACGTTGATGTAGATAATTGTCCTGTTGTCTTTTTAACCCAAAATTGATTTTGAATACTGATAGCATCACATTGCACACTAAACGATTTAATTGGTACATCCGAGAATTTTTTTGATCCATTGTTATATTTATAGTATGTCTCGATCATATCATTTGTTATTTCTCGTGGTCCATTTCCAGTTAAACGCTCGATTCGATTCGTTTGTTCCGGTTGATACGTATAAATACCACGATATTGTAAACGTTGATCACGGAATAGAATAATAAAATGTCTAGCACTATCACATTTTTCGATATCATTACAAACTTGTTCTCGTATTTTTGTGTTAACAAGTCCAGCTAATATGACTTGACTCAATGAATTGATAATTGTTTGTTTGTTACTTTTACTCGATAATGGTTTAGCTAGTGGATATTTCGGTTCAATTAATGTTAATTCATTTGAAAATATTGCATCAGGCAATGAAGTTGATATAGGCATTGCTGTTGCTGTTGAAGATGATTGATGTGTGCGTCCTGAAGTACGAGACATCGTACGCAAATTAGAATTATTAGTTGATGATGATGGAGGTAACGGATAAAATGGTGGCATAGATTTGGGTGGCGTATGAGAGGCACGTACTTCGGCCAATTTAACAAATGATAAATCATTATTTATCATACCATCATGAACGATCGTTGAATCTTCCTCTTCAACGCCAGTACCACCGCCAAAGACAGACGTGATTATTGGACCTAAAATACACACAATACAATTAAATCTCCATATGAGAACATCCACTTGTCTATAAATAGGGCTTTCAACTTAACTATTGAATAAGTTCTATTATTTATTTATTTCATTAAATAACTGTATTTTTCTTTTCCATTTCCGTTGTCCTCTCATAAAAGTTGACATACCTGATGTTTGTCTTTCTGTTACACGATTTAAACCTTTTTGTCTTGTTTTAATTATTGTATTGTGTCTATCATAGTTATCATCATGATCCATTCCATCATTGTGTTTATTATCTTTTTTCATTAAATATTGTCGATATATTTCTTCTCGTCGTTGTTCACGTTCATTTCGTTTTTTAGATTCTTCGTCATCTTTTGATCTTCTCTCAAAATCACGTTTAGCATTTTCTTCTTCTCGTCTAATTCGTCTTATTTCAAATTGTTTTTGTCGTTCTACTTGTTTATTTAACATTAATTCACGTTTTTTTTCCATTTCAATTGCCGTTGACTCTGCTGTGTTATCGACAATTTCTAATACAAGTGATGTTGGAACTGTCTGTTGTTGTTGTTGTTGTTGATCATCAACGGGGGAAGAACCGAGTACAAACGGTGTGGATTTATGTGATGTTGATGAGTTTGATAAACGTCTAGTAGATGTATCTTCATTGTTAGTTGAAGATGAAGTAAAACTAGCTACTGGTTGTTTCTGTTTCGTGACACTAGATGATGGTTTTCTCGATATTGTCATATCGGTTGCTATTGACTTATGTTCTTTATCATCGATTGATATACTAACTTGACTCTGTAATTCTTCTTGTTTGATCGATAATGTTGTTATCACCTTTTGCAGTTCACTTATATTTGAATTTAATTTTTCTATGGATTCATCATAATTTTGTAAATCAGAATTCGATGATAAATCGTCATGATCGGATAATGTGAGGGGTGATAAAGAATGATGTTTTACTGATGGAGTTGTTTCATCAATATATTCTGACTTATTTCTCAACTCCTCTTTTTTTGTTTCTTCTGTTATTGTTGGACTTATCTTTGTTGTCTCAATATATTTCTTTTTTAAAAGTTCCAATGTTGCCAAAAAATCATCATGTGTCATTGGTTTTGATAAATCAACAATTGTTGGTAATGATACTTCGTCTGTTTGTGGACGTTTTTCTATTACAGTTGTTGATGATTTTTTCAATTTTGTTGTCATTGTTCTATCATTGTTATGTTTTTGATCAATGTGACTATTGTTCATTATTGCTGAAAGGAAAAAAGCAATTTTTCCATATTAACAAAACTGTGAATATTTTTCACGGTATGTCAGACAATATATTTCAACGCTAAAAATAAAACTTGAAGAACATTTATTCTTACAAACTACCTTTTTGAGTTTAGTGCTGTCTAAAGAACATTTTTTTTTTGCTTACCTGGTGCTTCATATGAGAAATTTTTATCTTGTTGTGATTGATATTGTTCTATTGGAGGCAAAAATGATTGTAAATCACTTTTTCTTTTTTGTTGTAATAATTGTTTAAATGCTTCATGTCCAATAGTTTGTCGTTTTTCATCCCGAGAACTCTCTAAACGTTGTTTATCTCTTTCAATTGATTTTTTTTTCACTTCTAATTGCATTTTAATTGCTAAAAATTCTTTACTCATATGTTCATTTTCATCATTATCACAAATATAATCATCTGATTTTGGTGTGTGTGTGGCCGCTTGTTTTTGCCAAGTTGTTGTAGCAAATGACATGTTTTTTTGTTTGCGAGTTACAATTTCATCATCATGATTGAAAAATAATGGTGATGAAGAATTTTTTAAATTACTTTGCATCGATGACTTATTCATTTGTTTGTCAGGTAATATCGAAAACTAAATGATAATAAAAATGTGTGAAAACACAAAGAAAGTTAACGCTTAATAAGTCTTCAAATACGTACGCTATTTAGTGACGATTGTCTTAAATTATTGTTATGATTTGTCATTGTTTGTAAAACAATTTCTGTTGGAGAATTGGTTATTGAATTAAAAGATTTTGTTGTTGACGATCGTGCTTGTTGTTGTTGTTCACTATGATTATTATAATCGAAATAATTCTCATAATCATCATCACCATCAATTGAATAAGTTGAACTTAACATATTATTATTTTCATCTTCTATTTCATCATCTTCATAATCATGATCGACTTGTTCTTTAAGATTTTTCATTTTTGATATTTTTTTTTGAAAATTTTCAATCAAATTCATATGTTGCTCATTGTCTGTTGTAAAAACAGAATATTCATAAATATAAAATAATTCAATTATAAATGCAATTATATTTGGATGTAATAAATTATAATTGGATATAAACGGTTTAATATGGAATGGAAAAATATCCGATTTTTTACGATTTAAAAATATTTTTAAATATTTAATATTTTCATATATATTCACCGGTAACAAATGTTCACTCATATCAATTAATTCATATGAAAATTTTTTATCATAAAATCCAATTAAAACACTTAGACATTTTCCATCTTGTATATCCGAATTTAAATCGATTATAGGTGGTATACGTTTAAAGACAAATGATTTTGCCACATATTCACAAATACCATTCATCCAAATAATGAGTAATGATTCAATATCAAGTTTAACTAATGATTGTTGTTTGAGAGACGATGACTGATTTAAACGTTCTAATCGTTTCATAATCATATTTTGTTTTATAATACGACTAGAATAAAACCACATTAATGTATCGATCATTGCCAAATGAGCTGAAGTACATAGTGGTTCATCTTGTTTTAATGAATCAAAGGATATATACGATGTTAATGGATGTTGAAACTGATTTAATATATCAAGAACATCATTTAATGTCAAATTTATATCATCATCATCATCATCATCTATATTATCACGTGTCAAACGGCATATATTTGTATAAGCACGACAATATAAATCGCCTGATATTAAAATAAGAGTTAGATCGGGACGGAGAAAATGTTGTTGTTCATTATTATCATCTGTTTCGAAAAGAAAAAATTCTTTTTGGGGTAAATAATCGGGTATTGAATTATTATATGCTTTATTTAGTAACCATCGGACAGACGATATTAATTTTTCCATATTGGGATCATAGTCATTCTCTCTACTACTCGTCTCATCATCATCATCTGATATTAAATTATAATTCCTATTCACATGTTCTTCTTGATCAAATAGTTTTATTGATACGTTATTCTTTTTGTTCTTATTTTCATTTAAAATAAAATCATATTCATATTCAGCCATCCATAGAGAGACAAAGAAAAAATACTAATGAATCTAGAATAAAATGAACACTGAAGACAATTATACTATTACATCAATAGTCAATATCGTTAAAAAAATACGTTTTTTCTAGTGATATCATACGTTTTTATTTAACAATGAACAAAATTCTATTCGATAATCTAATACATGATTTAATGACACATTCTATTTCTACCCTATGACTTAGTTGATCACAATGTAAATAAGAACAAATGCTTAGAGTATGTTTGTTCATGTTCAATAGACAAACTACAGCAGCCACAAGTGTTTGTATACCGTTAGGGTATATTCTGAGCACTATACTATTGTTAGTTCTCTTTTCTTTGTAATCAAAATATATTTTACAACCTGTTTTTTATATTCTTTTACATGGCATATGTATAAGCTGATAACTATACAAATGTGGTGTGTTCATTATTTCTGTTTTCAGGATGTTTGATTCATCGATCGTTAACTACTTTTTTTCTTATCCCAATCAGATTATATATATCTATATATATTTATTCTGATTTCTGTATCAAATGTTCATTCTTATACTTACAGCGAACCGACCTATTTATTCATGTCTTTACACATATGAATATCTTTAGACATATGAATTATGAATAAATTATTTTCTTTTTTCTATCTTCTACGACTAATTAACATCCTTATGTCATTATTAGTAAAACAACATATCACATGTTACTATTGACAGAATCATTTCGATAGATAATGGGAAAAAAAATAAGAAGGCTATATTCTTTAATAGTAGCATGATCCACAAAAAAATTTAGCGTTTCTATATTCGACTTAGGAGTGTAGGTAGACGCTTTCATGTCAGGCAAAATCTTTAGAAAATTACAAAGAATGAAAATATTTCATACTTTTATTGATAGTTTCAATTGGTGGATTTGAAAAGTAAAGATCAATCAAAATCAAAATTGCAAAATAAATAAAATGACTTGTCAATATCTACTAGGTTGTTTTCTACACAATAAATTTATCAATATAATTAATCTTTCAGTTGTCACATAAAAGAGGGTAGTATTTTGTCCACCTGTAGAACAGAAAATCGATGTTATTGCATGGCGTTTATTGAGAAATGAAAACACGCCTAATAGTCTTTAGCATTTCATGCAAAAGAACGAAATAACATCTTCTTTTAAATAGCATCTTTGCGCATTCAGAACAGCATCGTTTTTAGTTTTTCTTATACCTGGCTCGTTTCAAAAACCTGAAGATTTCAGATTGGTAGCATGATTAAATCGTACCTGAAACTATTTTTTTTATATAACAATATTCTAATGAGTCATTTAGAGATCGCTTAAAAGTCTCCTCGAATAAAACGTCTCCTTTGAAGAAAAGGTCTCTAAGAGAGTGAAAATTAATCAACATGTTAGAGAGAAATTAAAGTTATGATCAGCGTTTCTTACAACAGCAAAGTTTGCGTCGGTCTAAATCCTACCAGTGGCATACTCAGGAATAGGTCAGGGGACTAGGTACGTTGCTGACTCCTACTATTTGTTTCTCCCTGATGATATTGCGCTTACGAAATAAATCTTTTCACTACGCATGAATGCTAATTCAGATATATTTTACTAGAAGTTTAAATGATTTAGATATATTGTCTTGGATATTCCAACTTCCCCAGTCGACATCTATGTGAGAAAATCTGCGTGTCTTCCGTATGAAATTATCAGAAACTACAGTTTCCGCTTAATTTCACGGTGTATCGATGTGAGTATCAGGTGAGAAATTCCGACCTGTATGAGTCTATAATCGAGTGCGTAATTTTTTACTCAGTACTCAAGCCTTAATATTCGTACTCCTATTGGTATTTGGAGGATCTTACTTTAGAGTCCTGCGGAGTAATCCTAAATCCCGTCTGTCTCGTCCCGCAAACAGACGAGCTCAGGACAAGTCCTAGAAAAATGTTGCCCCGCAAGTTTTGTCTTGTGGTTGTAATTATGCTACAACTTCAAATGTTCAATTCTTGTAATACTATCAAATCAAAACCGTAACTTTAGAATAACTAATAAAAATTAATCTGGAGAGGCGAAATAGTCTGGATTTAAAATTAAGATGTTTCATATCTAAAACTCGGTTTACAGGTCTTTTCTTTCGATTCAGAGGTAGTGAGTAGACGTAAAACATTTTTTTTTACAGAAACTCTTTTAAGTTTAGAATCAAATAAATTAGGTTAAATTTGGTTTAAATTTTGTCACCTAGATTTTGCAAAAATAAATTTGAGACTTTAAGCATCTCTTATAACAGTTACGGTTTATTTCAACAGAACAAATTACGGAACAAAGACCAGAAAGCTAGTAAATTTTTTCGCGGAACAGACGGATTCGAGAGGGTGTTTCATAAAAATTCTTAAGTACTCAACTTAACTAATCAAGTCTCCGTTTTGTACACTTACGTGTTAATTTTATACACTTAAGTCTAGACTTAGTGAAGTCGGGCACTTAAGAATTTTTATGAAACACCCTCCGGGACAACATTATTTGCTCGCGGACTCGGACTTACGAAACGGGATAAAAATGTTCACAGGCTCTGGCAACAGAAAAGTTTATCCCGCAAGACTCTACTTTACTCGTACTCGAGAAAGCCTACACTAGTTTAGTTCGAGATAATATCAACGGAAGCTATGTACGAAACCTTTGATAAATGACAGATTTTACGTCTTTCTCATTTAGTCTTTTGAATGCGCGTGAAGAGGTCTGAGAGTCCTTCTCAGTTGCTTATATCGTATGATTTAAAAACAAAAGCAGAAAGAGAAAAACTCTTGGAGCCATCACAGTTCAAGAAGCGTAGTTTTATGTTCAAAGTGGCATTAAGAAAAAAATAAAATATACATAACTCTTATGTTCTGTTTGTTATAAAAGTGAAAGGAAAACACATTAAGAATTTCTCTGTATTACAACTAATCATAACACAATGACGTGCTTTTCGTTGAACCTTTCCGACTGAAACCATGGTGAAAATTTACGAAATTTAAAGCCTTCTCGTGTTAAATTCTCAATAACCAACAGTGTTGCCTATTCCTTCTTTTCTGCTTTGTCTCAGCAAGTGATGCGCTTTCCGATTGGTCGTCGCGTTGTTATGCATTCGCCATTGATAAAGTCCATGAAGTGAACTTCTCAAGACTCAGTATGTTAATGATATCTGTACAATTATAGCACGTTTTTCATCGAAAAAAGCAAAATTCTTAACAGAACTACTAGAGAAAAATATAGTGATATATTTTATATCTTAATATCTTACTTCTCATTCGTTGAAGTTTTTGACAGGCTCTTTGTTTTATTTTCTTGTATATTCTCTTCTTTAAATATACAGTTACAAATTTATCTTTAATCATATTGTAGAGAAAACCAGAATAAGAGTTTGCTTTTGAGTAATTACGGAATGTATTTTTGATTTTAAAGTTGATTTTTCCAAAACTATTATGGCTCAAACTACGACTATCACAGATTATTTTAAACAAAAACGATTATCATCAAATGTTTTTCATGAAAATCTGAAAATAAAGAAACTAAAAACTGATGATATTTCTCAATTAGGTAAGTTACTCGAAATTTATTTAATCTTGATGATTACATCTGTGATTTTTGTTTCTGTTTATTGCTAGTACCTAGCACACCCCCGAAGCCAAAACGACCAGTTGTTCTTACAACATCGCGTACAACGCCACGACGAAAATGTAAAAAAGAACAGAATCTTGATCCTCTGTTTGATTTGAGAGGTATGAAATCATATGTCGTTTATGATGAAGTTTGTTTTGTATCAATTTCTCTATTTCTAGAAATAAGAGTTTCTGTAACAAGAGAGGATGGAGATAGACGGTCAGATTTTATACAAGCGAAGATCACTAGTCAAAATTTTAATTTTAATCTTGACAAATTATCAACAGCAACAATAACACCTGTTTCTCCTTTCGCAACACCCGCCGAAAATTGGACTGTTGCTGTTGATTCCGTTTGTAGCGATGTTTCGGTGGCTAAACAACCTGAAACACCGCCATTGACGCCCATTGAGCAAATAACAGTAACACCATTAAAGACCTTACCGACATTAATGCCGTGTGTTGAAAAAAAGAATTTAAGACCAATAGAAACGCAAAAGTAAGAGATTGATTTATCTTTAACAATGACTATCATTTGCTTTATTCTCATTTAAGAATTCTACCAGCCTTTGAACGTTTCAAAGATTTAACAAATAAATATGCTGATACAACGTTCATTTTACCATCGAAATATAGACTTTTATTTGAACAATTTAAAACAAGTGATTTTTTTATTTGTAATACGCATAACAGAAATGAAAAACCAACATTTCAAAAAATTAAACAAAATGTTCAACACATAACCAAACGGTTAGTCGGAGTTGTTTGCTACTGAATAAGATTATTTCTGTTAATGGTTTCTTTTATTTTCTAATTTGAAACAAGTTTTATGAATGTTTTCTTTTAGAAATTTTGAAACGTCGACACTCGGTAAAATAAAAACAGTGTACTCAACAGCGTATGAATATCGTCAAGAAAAAGTTCTAACGTTAACAATGAGTCCAACAAAAACTAAATATGAATTAGTTGTTTATCCATGTCTAATTGGTAACTATTTTATTTCAATGACCGCAGAAAAACAAAAATGTTTGTGTCTATTCTGACGTTTGTAGATTTTCAAATAAGTAATGATTTTATTCATTCTATCGGTATTGATCCAAAAATGATTATTGAACGATTAAAACGTTTTCGATCAAAATTATCCGATATTGTCAAACGATTCCACAGAGTATGTCGAATAATATAAAAATCTACTTTGTAGTTGATTTTAAATTTATTTTGTTCGTTGCAGGTATTCATATCGAATATGTATCCATTAGAAGAAATTAATGATGATACGTATATCCGATGGCATCCAGAATTTAATCTTGAAAATGTGCCTGATATTGAGGTTGCTGATTTACCTCAACCACCGAAAGAAATCGAAGAAAAAAAAGTTGCGACAGCGGCAGATATTTTACGTCATGCACAAACAACACAATCTGAACGTGTACGCATAAAACAGTCATTTGTTTTGTACTGATTAAATAATTTTTCTCTTTAGGTTAAAAAAGCATTGTCTAAAATTAGCAAAAATTTGGCTTCAGATACAGCAGAAATTCAATCACCAAACGCACTGGATTTAAAACAAGTGAAACGTATTGTTGGTGTTAAAGATGATCTTTTGAAACAGGTTAGTCTATATATGATTATTTTGCTTAAACACATTGTTTCTTTCTTTATTTTTTTTTCAGATACGTTTAAAAGAAATGCAAAAAATCCAACTAACTGCTTTGGAAAATCCTGATGAACAAAAAACGATAACAATCTCTCGTCGTTTACCAGAAACAATTGACATAATTCAACAATATTTTACAACACAACGACAAATTGCAATTGAAATTGATCTTGTGTGTAAACAATTGAAAGATTGTCATCGATCAGGATTAACAGAAGGTGTGTTGTTGTTATTTCTAGAAAATTTGAGAACAAAGAGGATTGAAGTTAATTTATAGTTTAAAGTAATCGACGGATGATACGAATGTTTTGAATAGGAGATTATCAGAAATGTTAGTTACCGTAGACAATGAAGCGAGAGTAATAAAATTCAATATTCAGAGAAAAGTCATGAGTACATAGATCGACCTATGTACTCGACGAATGAGACCTATGAATGCATATTTTGCTCAACAAATTACAACGCTGTTGCGTTCACAACATCAAGGACTCAGAAGTACCCGTACCTGCTCTGGATTTAAGTACAGAGTGATAGCTAGATAATGATATTCTATTTAAGAATTTTCATGTAAAGTAGTTCGTCGTTATAATTTTGCAGGATTGAATAGCAGCAGTACACTACAAAATTCTGTTCTTATTTGTTTAGTTGAATCTGTTGAAATAGTGCGTTATTTATGTGAATGTCAAGAAAATGATGGCTGGTTAAAAATATTAAAAATGCGCAATAAAGAATATATTAAAATAAATAATCAAAAATCAATTAAAATAATTATTGAAAATATTGAACAGCGTATTCGTGATAGTTAAATATCAGTCGATATTTTTTTTTCTCATTATGCTCTTATTTTTTGTTTAATTCATTAAGACAAGAAAATGTCAGATGTATTTTTGTATATGTATCTTAGATGATGATAAATCTTTTTGCTTGTTTCTTTGTTTGTTTTTCTATTTTTCTTGTCCTTGTCTTGCTTTGAGTTTGTTCTTCCACTATTTTTCATAAAAACAAAGGTTATTTTTTTGTTCGTTTTCTTTTGTTGACCATAGGTCAATTAGTCATGTTGAATGATTATGTGCTAAATATTTTATTGCTTGTGATTATTTTTCTATAGATAGTAAAAAGATTAAAAAAAGAAAGAAAGAAAGAAAAAAGTTGTACTTTTTTTTATACTTGTGTTTGTTTTCATCTATATGTCTTTTGTAAATTCAGTGATGAATTAAACTGAGAATTGTTCATTAGAAATAAAAATAGAAGGTAGAATCTAATAACTTCGATGTAGAAATGCAAAGTTCGTGATCATGACCGATAAAAATGACGACTGTTAACGAAGTTTATCAATCCTACTAAAAAATTATAGTTTGTAGCAAATAGTAATTTCAAAAATTTCCGACAGCTGTTAATTACCCGAACGTTTTTATGTTTTTCTTTTTCAGATGAGACTAAGTGTTCTGAACTTGTCTGTATTATATGAATTTTTATCAGAAAAACAACAAACTGTTTTAACTAGTGAGAGATACTACAGTTTCTTTGCTAACTAGGATTTGATTTTGCTTCAGTTATGTTCGATAGAGTCCTCTTCGTTTTTGAAACGCTATGCATCATAGAATTCTCTTTAAAACAAGATTTACTAAACTTGTTTACGTTGGATACTCTGTGATAATGTCGTGTGACTTGTATGGCCTGCAAATTTGGTGACAGTACTAATAGTGGAAAGAGAAAAGTTTTATGATGATAATATCTAATGAATGTCATCAAATGAAAGAATGTCATCGCGAAAGAACATCGAAAGTTAAAGATTTTTCTGCAAATTATATCTCCATTATGCAAATATATATATTCTGTAATTATATATATTATATATAAAAGATAGAAGATTCATTGTAAGTGTTTGGGGTACATGAAGTACAAGTGTTTGACAATAGGAAATTCATCAAATAACTACAAAATTTATTGTCAAAATTGCTTGTCATAAGCGAAATTTGTGTTCTTTTCCCCTATTTTGCTACCGAAAGATGAAGAAAAGTCGGTTTATAGCTCTCATTTTATGCAGTAAAACATAATTTCACTAGAATTATCGTATCTATTTTTGTAGATATTGTTTTGTTAAACTTCTACCAACCATGGTTGTATCGGTTTTGCGATTTATGATGAATTTATTTTTGTATCCATTCGCACTCGCTTTTCTATTATTTTACCGTATCTTACAATGGTCTGGTCTAAAAGCAATGAACTATGATTTCCATAATGAAATTGTACTCATAACTGGATCAGCACGTGGCGTTGGTAGACAAATTGCACTTGCGTTTGCTCGTTCAGGTGCATCGCTAGCATTGTGGGACATAGACGATATTGGTAAGTCATTGGAGATTGTATCACAAATAGTCAATAAATTCTATTTTAGGCAACCGCGAAACACTTCAAATGTGTTTATCATTAGGTATACATGTACGGTGTTACCATGTTGACATAACAAAGTATAACGATGTTCATTTACATGCTGAACGCGTTCGAAAAGAGTTAGGAAATGTTACTATTCTAGTGAATAATGCTGGTCATTTTAGTGGTAAAACATTTTTACAAGAATCCGAAACAGATATTGAACAGACGTTCTCATGCAATAGTCTATCTTGTATATGGTTAACAAAATTATTTTTACCCTATATGTTAGATATTAATTATGGACACATTGTCATTGTTTCGAGTATACTCGGTCTAGAACCAACGCATGGGCCGATAACATATGCCGCATCAAAATTTGGCTCCGTTGGTTTTAGTCAATCGTTGATCTATGAACTAAAATCTATAAATTCAGATACCAAAGTGAACGTTCACTGCATATGTCCATATTTTATCACAACAACAATGTTCAATGGTTTCAAACCAAAACTACAATTTTTAATTCCTGCATTAGATGCGAGTTATGTTGCTATACAAACACTTGATTCGATTGCATGGAATAGACAATTAGTTATACTACCATATCGGCTGAAATATATAACATTTCTAAGCCATGTGCTACCAAAATGGTTAAAAAAACAATTAATGTTTTATGTTGCCGGACAGAAACCATTAGACATGTTTGTTAATAAACAGAAAAGAGATTATATGTCATAGTCTGTTGGTTATAATTATTCTCGCTTTTATTTCAGTCCATAGTTGTTTACATCTTTCAGTCTATATTTTACATAATTTTTTGTTTTTCAATGTGAAATAACTAGTCTGTTTGTATCTTTTGTGATATTATATCTAGTCAGTATGCAGAAGTTATTTTATTATATTAAGTAAACTGTTATATCAAAAATATAAATAATATTCAAACGAGGCAAAACCTGTAGCCTGAACAATACGTATATTGGCTTCAAACGAGATGCTCTTGTCGCCAGTATTCTTGCACTAGATTATGGATCTAAATACTTTAGTTTAGTCGTACGTAGTTCGAACTCATCCGCTACTGAGTATCATCAGTGATTTTACGATCATTTTTTTATTTGTGATTGCATATTGAATTGTTAAAAGAGACCTTATTATTTTAGTTTTTTCAACTCCAGACAAAATACGAACCACTCTCAACTTAAAAAAGTGATGTAGAAAGATATGGGCAGATTCCTCCGAATGTCTTCTCAAAATACGAATCCTACGATCTCTTCATTTTTTGCCATTTAGGCATGTCATAGGATTCCCTGAGTTCTTCACAATTGGTATGAGATCACATGCGGAAACTCTAAAATTAATTGAAATTCAAGTTATCGGCTGTGATGAATCTCATAGCAATGCTTTTTCTCAAATTTAAAAGCCTAGTAAATACTTATATTAGATGAAATAATCCGTGTTCAGCTATTTTCATGCAAAATTAAAACATTTGTAATTGACTCAAAATCGGGTCAAACCACTTCGAGAGTGCAAAGTCTCCTGTATTTCAGCTACTTCACAGGATCGTACACTTCAGAGTACGAAAAGAATCTATAGGCACTTCCACAGATTTTGAAACAACAGTTTAATAAGATATAAGACGTTTTCTCTGATTTTTTTCCCGTATATTAGGTTAAGCAAGGTGCAAAGATTCTTAGCGCAAGATCTAAGAAGTCAAAATCTTAGGAATAAATTCACCCAGGATTTTGAGTAAAGAAATTTCTCCACAGTGAAAGATGCCGTATAGCTGTTATTTGCCATCTCCAAATCCTTTTCGATACATATACCCATAAAAATGATGAAAAAACGCATACATCTAAAGCGTTTTACACGCATGAATTCAGTCGAGACTACTAGCTTTTTAACATTTTCTTTTCGTGTATGCCAATCATAGTCGTCAGATATCTATCATTATAGACTCTTTTTCGAACAACTAGTCCATGAACGAGAAAAGCTTACCGTTATTCTGAGAATGAAAATATTGTGAAAATACACACATGCACAAGAGTGTAGAGTAGTTCAAGAAGTACAAAGGTCTTGGGTGATTGAATAATTACACAAGACCGTGACTTCCTAAAACTTGTTTAATTCTCTCCGTTCTCTTACCAAAATGTTGAATCAAGATCTTACTGGAAAAAATCTAAGAACTCAATATCTTGGTTACATCAAGTTTTCCTAGAATTGTTCTTTTATGCTTTTTGAGTCTATTTTTCATTTTTTTTTCTTCTTTTACTGTTTGTCGGACTTTCTTCGATGATCTTTTATGAAATACAGCCAATTCTTCTATATAAAAACATTAAAAATAGCTTACATCTTCAATATCAGAAAAGAAAAAAACTGGAATTTATTGATTTTTTAGAATCAAGGGAATCTTAACTACTGATTCCCAGCTGTTGCGCTCCTAATTTTTCTTTGCATTTAAAGGTCAACATGTTGAATGATTAATTCAATTATTATGCAATTAGGAACAGGCTAGTATTTATAAGATGTAAACATGCAACGAACTTATACAAAATGGAATAAATGTATATATATATAGTGAATAATAATTGAAACTTCAATAATGTATACTATAAGACTGAATGAATGTTTCTCTTTCCGCAACTATAAGTTCTTCCATGTTTTAATTTCTCTTCAGAAGAATCCCATCAATTTTAAAGTTTTACAGGACATATTATTTATAATAAATTTGAAGATTACAAATATTTGCTGAAAGAGAGAGAGAGAGAGAACGAGAGAGTAATTTTCTTGATAATTTTCATACTTCATTTATAAATTTAACGAGTTTGAATTTGTGTTGTTGCAATCATAAGATAACATGCTGACTATTTAAAAAAAAACGTTTTATTTTATGAATTAAAACATTACAAACGCCAATCTTAACGATAATAACTGTTTTCCCTACAGAGTTATTGTTATTCAAGTTCTTTTTTTTTCTTCGTGTTAAACTAAAAGCTCAAAATCATTGCTTTCGTTTTACTCTTATGTGTTGAACGTATATGCTTATTGTCCCTGATTTTTCTATAATAATTCTTTATTTCATCATATCTGTATATTGCTGACACATCTAATTATCTATCTACCAAGTCGTTGTTGGTGTTGGGAAATGAAAAGGATTATTACGAAAAAAAAAACCTGGGAAATACAGAGAAAGAAAGGGAAAAGAAATTTTATAAGAAAAATATGAATATGTAAAGGAAGGAGAAAAAGAGCTTCATGAAGACATTAAAATGCATATAGAGACATCGACCACATACACACTACACATACTTGGGAAAGCTTGATAGATTATTTATCTTTGTCTTCGAGAAACACATATGAACTTCTTGCTTTTACAAGAATACTTGTCTGTGTTCTTTCTTTTTTTTTTTCTTCTTCTCTGTATTCAAACATAAGTATCCTTAGTGTAATAGGATGTTCTTCTTTACTCTCAAAAATACTATCAGGTAAATATTCATTAGATGATTTTATATAGCGTCTGCTTCCGTTATTATATTGATGTTTTACAATTTTTATTTGAAAATGCATAATCTTATGAGAATTGATTGAGAGAAAAAAAAAAGACCTTATGAATTATATTTGATCGACATGTATAGAGTATATTGAATTATTTTAAGGTGAGCAAAGTTGCTTGTGTCGTATAAACAGTATGGCAACAGTTTGTATTGTTTCATAATTTTTCTTGACATCATTAGACATTTGTTTGCTCTTTTCTGCTTTACTTTGTAGAGGAATACAGACGAGATAAAAATGAGCCTATTTTGCTCTGAAAACTTTCTGTTTACCTTTAATCAAATATTCTAGTAACATTTGTCTTCAATTCAAGTCATTTCTAGAGTTTAAAATCTTAGGACAGAAACAGTAAAAACTGTTCGATTATTGTTACCTTTGTTGCGTACATCAGTTTCGTTTCCTTTTTATTATCGAAATTTGAAACTCTTGTAGAAAGATGTTGAACTACTCGTTTGTAATTGTACCTGTCTTTTATCGTTGTGTTTTCCAGTCGACTTATTCATAAAGAAAAAAAAAAAGCAAAAGAAAAAATGTTTTATATCTTTCTATATATATTTATATATATATATAATCGAAGGAAAATTTTCAGAATACGCCAAAAACAGAAAATGCATGCAATCTATTTTGCCCAATGTTTTAAGAGGAAGATTTGTTTTATACTCGAAAATACCATACAAAAACAAAGACTTTTTGTGTTGTTCTTTTCTTAAAAATATTGAATAGCTAGCTCTAAAAGTTGTCGTTGAACTGATGTTTTTTTTTGTTTTTTTTTTTTTTGGTAGATTATTATTTTGTCAATCGGCGTTCTTTTCTTTTTTTTTTTTTCAAAACGATGATGAACGAATAATATTGTTTAATTTAATATTGTATATTACTCGAAAAAAAGTAAAACGAAATTATGACGTAGACACGCACATGTTTAACAAGCAATCAAAGATTTGAAGAACAATTCACCTCACCGTAAGTGATAAAAAAATGTGCATATTCAAACTATTAGAAATAATTTGTTGTAGAAATAGTTTTTGTTGTTTAGTCTACTTCTTAAGAATTGAAAGAATTAGATCTTTATTTTAAACTGAATATGGTTCACTGCTTTATAGATTTTATTACTTCCGTTGTTTAATATTGTTATTTTCTTCTCTTTTTTAGTCTTGCACAGTCTTGTCAGTGTGTCAAGCTATTAGGTGACTAGGCAATGGTCTCAGTGAATGAAGCATGAAACTTAAATTGGTGAATTGGATCATTTCTTGGTTATTATTCATTATGGTTAAATATGATAATAGGTCATTATTGGCATTGAATTCACCCGTAATAACAGTTAATATTGGTATGATCATCAAACTGAAATTATTTTGTGTATGATTAACATATAAGGATGTTTTTAGGCGGTGTGTTTACTGATCGGGACGAGGGTTCAGATACAAAAACAATGGAATATGTATTTAAGTCGGCTGTTTTTTATTTTAATCGTAAAAACAATACTAATTGGAATAATAATATCAAATATAGTGTTGAAACCATAAATATTAGCGCAACTGGATCAGCCGTTCAAGCTGTTAAAGATGGTTTGTATAAATAAATCTTCTTTTTGTACATAAATAGAAAGACAATTTTAACTTGTATTCTGTTGAAATTAGTTTATGATGCTAAATTTCTGTTTTTCTTTTAGTATGTTCAATAATTGAAACTCGTCATGTTAGCGGCATGTTTGGTCCACCCTATCCACCACTATCCACTCTAGTACAATCAATGTGCTATTATGTTGATATACCATTTGTTAATGTTTGTAGTACATGTTATGATTCTGAAAATGATGATGATGATGACTCAGAACAAACGAAATTAAGAAAAATGTTTGTGAATCTGTATCCGTCCAATCGAGATTTAAATCTTGCATTTCAAAGTCTAACACAAAAACTACAGTGGACAAAATTCTTAATTATTTATGATACCGATTCAGGTAAATAAATGTGACATACTTCTGCTTCTGTTTACGATAGTTAATGGAACTTTTATTAAAAGGCTTAACTCGATTACAAGGTTTATTGAATGCACCAGGTATTAATCAAACTGATATACTTGTACGCCAATTAACAGATCCAAAAGATCGTTCGGTGTTGACAGATGCCATTGGCCGCGATATATTCAATGTTATATTAGATTTGAATGATGAGAATACAAAATTTGTCTTGAGAATGGCATTACAATTAGGCATGATCAATTCAAATTATCATTATTTATTAACCACATTAGTATGTTAATAGGTCGAATATTAAATACAAAATATGTTTATATATCTTCTTTAATTTAGGATATTGATACATATGATCTTGAAGATTACAAATATAATTATGTCAATATAACAGCTTATCGGTTATTTAATAGAGACAGTCATATAATCCAGGACGCAATGAAATATTATTTTGAATTTAAACGAATTGAAAATAATGAACAAAATCGACAAACATTTACAGTTAGTTCAATCATAATCTAATGATTATCATTGCTTTAATCGAACATTTTTAGTTTAGACTCAAGTAGCATTATGGATAGATGCACTATCAGCATTTGCTATGGCTTATGATAAATTTTTATCTGGATCAAAATCTTCGATACCAATTGATTATGTTCCAAATCCATCATGTCATCCGGATTATCCAGCAAAAGGATGGCCAAAAGGAAATGAATTGTATTCAAAATTTCAGATAGTAATTATCTTAGTAATATTCTTATTATTTTTCATAATCAAATCTTTTTTTCTATCTACAGGTCAAATTTTATGGACTGAGTGGTTCTGTACAATTTTCATCTTACGGTGAACGAACGAATTTCGAACTACAAATTGTTCATCTCTCTGAAACCGGACTCGTTCAGGTTTGTTTTTTCAAATAAATTTATCCGTTGACTAAATTATGAATATTTCCAGATCGGTACATGGGATCTTAAGCAAGGTGCTAATTTTACACTGTTTCCAATGTCAAGAGGTGGTTTATTTAATTCAACTCTAATTGTTACCACTATTATTGTATGTATACAGTCGATTCACATAGTGAACAAATTGTTTGGACTTTTTAATTTTAAAGGAGCCGCCGTATGTTATGTTAAAAAAGAATAGTAACAGCACTGAAGTGCCAGATAATTATACGAATGAAGATTTTGAAGGATTTTGCATTGATTTACTTGAAGTAAGCAATAGCTTTCTGTATGTATAAAAGTCATTACACTAAAAAATTTCTTCAGCACGTTCGATGATCTCATTAAATGTTACTAAAACTTTCACAAAGTGTAGACCTTTTTTTCACTTTTATTTTGAAATATCAGTCTTAATATCAAATCGTCCTGTCTGAAGATAAGCAGCATATTTGAGTGATCGTTTGAAAAGTGATATCTAAAAATCATTTGTTTTGGGTAGTCATTGACAACCTTTTTCAAACTTTTTTTGACAGTTGGATTGACAATTAGTCAAATGACATGTTTCCCTCGATTTCCTGACATGTGATGTTTCTCGAGGGTATTTTTTCCCCAACTAATGTTTTCGGATATCTCTTGACTTACTTTATAAATTGTTTTCAGTTTGTCAAATATGTTCATCATGTTATTTAGTATCTTAAACCCACATAAATTCTCTATAAAACAGGTTGGTTACTCCAGATTTACTATAAATATAGGGCTTATCGGCGTAACCCAGCCAAAAAAAGTCAGTCCGTTACGTTTGAAATAATTATAGCTCCGCAACGGAATACATATCACCGACAAGAAAATAAAGTTCATTTAGAGTCGTGGAAAAGTGCTTTTTCGTATTCAATACACTCGATAATCCAGTAGATTTTCTATTTTTGATGACGGGTATCGTCAAAAGTTTAAGAAAAATTTTGAAAATTTTTCCCATGGCAATTTTTTTGCGCCATTTTGTTCGAAAATGTTTTCTAAGCTTTTGACAGTACTTCTCGCCGAAAAGAGAGAATCTACTGGGTTATCGAGTATGCTAAATACACAAAAGAAAAATGAACTTTATCTTTTTCTTCGCGGTGATATGACGTAATAGCCTGCGCAATGTCTTATTTTGTAGAGTAAACTGTTTTCTTTGATATGACAATCAAGCGAACTATCATGAGCATTTATTTCAAAAGTTATAGCTCAGTACGTGAGTGACCCAAAAGTCACTTTTTATCTGATTTTTGGTAACTTATCTCTATTTATAGTGGTATCTCTAAGAGTATGTTTGATTATCATACAGAAGAAGACAGTTTACTCCGAAAAATAAGATACCTACAAACGAAATAATGTAATAGCCTGCGCAATGTTTTATTCTGCAGAGCTAAAAATCGTCTGTTCAATACCAGAATTGGGGGATAGATTAAACTCAATGTTGTACGCACATGGATATGCTTAAAACTATGATAGCTTCAGTGTTCTGGTCTATGTTGACATCAGAATTCTCCGAGTGATACTTCCTCCTTTATCAAGATTTTTCACGTTAATCTCAGAAAAGTGTATTTCTGTATACACCTTTAATATTTACCTTTTATTCTTTAACTAACACAACAATATGCTTGTCCTTAATAGCATCATCTCCTGAGATTATTTTTAGTTGTTCTTAATTGGCACAAACGATCATATAGACCAGTTTTCTTAATTGATGATTAATTAAGGAAAACATTATCAATTAAGAAAACTGTTCTATATGATCATTTGGGCCAATTAATAATTGCTAAAAATAATCTATATTAGGTCTAATTAATCTATGATAACAAACATAGTGTTGTGTTAGTGATAAACTTCTGTGCAAAAGAAAACGAGATCTTATCCATGTTTTCTATCCAATTAACTGAATTGTGATCTATTGCATATTTTTTCCGAGATCTATTCCATGATTTTGAAATAAAAATATCTATTTTTAAAAATCGAGATCTTTTCCATGTTTTTTTATGCAACTAAGTCAATCGAGATCTTTTAAATTCTTGTCCTTTTGTACATAAACTACTTTTTTCAGGGCATTTGTCACAATGCTTACATCTCCACAAAAACTCATCAGAAAATTCTAGAAAACATCTCATTGTGAAGAAAACACATTTTTCTATCAGACTACGTGTAAGAAAAATTTTGAATGTACAGAAAAGAAGAGAAAAATTTATGAAATTAAAAAAGTTGAGTTTTTTTAGGCTTTGAACGAAAAACTTCAAAAATGCATAACTTTTTAAAGAAAAGTCGTGCAGGATTGGAAGCGATCTCATTTTGTAGCCCACACTTTCCTCTGCATTAGGGTATGCTCAGCTCAAAATCCGAAATTTTTTCAAAAAAGAGAGGGGAGGTACCCTTAACACAGTAGACCTACGTAGGTCCACTGTGTTAATCATGAAGGCCTACTTTGATAAAAATACAAAAATTCAGTCTGAAACTTCGAGATATATTTGACTAAAGCTCGCCAATATTCTGTGAGAGTTTTAGAACATGTGAAAAGATTCTCTGTTGCTCTGATCTCTTATCTTATCTCTCAAAAAATAATTCAGATTTTTAATTGTATATAATACCATTTATTTTAGGAATTATCAATAGCCATGAAATTTAGTTACAAAATAGAACCAATTCGTACAAGAAGTTATCAAGAAATGGTTGATCATGTTAAAAAGAAGGTTTGTAAAACGAACTACGATCTTTTTCAAATATAAGAGCCCTAGTTGTTTTTTAAACACTTTTGATAGGAATGAGATAGGGACTGCGGTTTTCACCATTCGAAAGAGGAGACTTGCAGGCGTGTTTCTAGCACCAGAAATCTTTCTAGAAGCGTTTCTTAAAATCGCTTTTTAGGGAGTCCTTTGAAAAATCCGGTTGTTTCACAGTAACTTATGATAGAACTAAATTGATTTTTTTCATGAATTGATATCTCAGAATGTCTTCTTCAAAATGGGAGTCAAGCGGGATCTTGATTTTCAGTGGTTTGGGTAGTGTCGAATTTCCTTCGAGTCCGACAACTGATACCCTGCGGCTATTGGTAACCTCAAAAACCGGTGAACTAAAGGTAATCAATCATACGGAGCCTTGTGGAAATATTTGTTTTTAGAAAAATATTTTAAAAACTAATTAAACCCACGTTTTTCGAAAATTAGGAATTTCCGTCTGTTTTCATCTAATATTAAAAAACTCAATATTCACTCAGAAAACACCAGAACGCGTTCAGAACTTTAGAATATGATTAATTTTAGCGCTTAGACGTGATTATACGATCGAACAAATTGAAAATCTTCAGAGGCTCTCTAGGAGCCCTTTTGGAAAGCTAAGGGTTCTCTAAATTCGTTTTTGTAGATTTCTCATAGATAGAAGAATATAAAATAGTCTAAATACCGTAGATTCTAAGATTTTGGTGTTTTCTGAGTGAATATTAAGCTTTTTAATATTATATGCAAACAGGCGGAAATTCCTAATTGTCAAAAAACATCATTTTGAAGAAGACATTCTAAGGTATCAATCCATGAAAAAAATCTGTTTTGTTCTATCATAAGTTCCTGTGAAACAACCGGATTTTTGAAAGAACTCACGGAAAACCTATTTTAAGAAATGCTTCTAGAAAGATTTCTACTGCTAGAAACACACCTGCAAGTATTCAAAAAACAACTAGGGCTCTTATAATATGAAAGGATGGTAGACTATGTGTATAATTCTATTTTTTGCAATTTAGGAAGCGGATTTAGCTGTTGCACCCCTAACAAGTATGTGTAATACATCCCTCGTATTTGTAATTAATCATCGTTCTTTCGTTTTTTTTAGTAAATTATGCACGAGAGAAGCAAATCGATTTTACTAAACCGTTTCTGAGTTTGGGCATAGCTATTTTGTTTAAATTACCACTCCCCGAGAAACCGGGATTATTCAGTTTTCTCAGTCCATTATCGCTAGAAATATGGATATATACATTTACGGCTGTATTAACCGTTAGTCTCATCTTGTTACTAATAGCACGTTGTTCACCAGATGAATGGCGTAACCCTTATCCATGTGATACAGATTATAATTATTTAGAAAATAGATTTACAGTTAGTAATACGTTGTGGTTTTCAATTGGAACTTTAATGCAGCAAGGTAAGTGTAACATGAAATATTGAAAAGCTAGTACTCTAACTTAAGATCTAAATCTATCGTGTTCTACATGTTTCTAACAGTATAAAATCTTTTTGTTGGACAAGAAGCATGTCAGATACTATCACGAAAGATTTTCTTCTAGGATCCGATGTTAGTCCATCAGCAATATCAACAAGGCTTGTTTCTGGAATTTGGTGGTTTTTTACACTCATATTAATATCTTCATATACAGCTAATTTAGGTAAGAATAATCTTATTTGATAAATATGATGTATACTGTGATTCGTATTATTAATTTTTAGCTGCGTTTCTCACAGTTGAAAAACTCACCAATCCAATAGAAAGTGCTGAAGATTTAGCAAAACAAAGCAAATATAAATATGGTGTACTAAAAAATGGTACAACGCAACAATTTTTTAAAGTAAGACTTGAATAGTAAAATATCTTTGGATTTATAAATAAATATATTCAATTCACACATTACTTGAATATTGTCCAGTTGCTGTTTGATACTTCGTATCATCGTAACTATAACATGAAGGAGTATTGTAGAATTAATTGGTTTATATCGTTTTAGGAATCAAGCATTCCAACCTATCAGACAATGTGGAAACAGATGGTATCTAATCCCGATGTATTTGTAGACAGTAATAGTGAGGGTATTGAGAAAACACAAAAAGGACAATATGCTTACTTAATGGAATCAACTACAATTGAGTATACTGTACAACGAGAATGTAGTTTAACACAAATTGGTGGTTTGTTGGATAATAAAGGCTATGGTATTGGTCTACCGGAAGGTAAATTACATCGACGAATAACGTTCTCACCCTCTTTAATCAATTGTTCTTTCAATCTGTTTTAGGTAGTCCACATCGTGAAAAGTTTTCTGAAATAATACTTGATTTACAAGAAAAAGGTATAATACAAAAATCGTACAATAAATGGTGGAAAGGAAAAGGATCATGCGTAAGAGAAGATAAAAAAGATTCAAAAGCAAGTCCATTAGGAGTGAAAAATGTTGGTGGAATATTTGTTGTTCTACTAGGTTTGTATAATATCGACAAATTTTTATTTAATGATGGTTAGTACTATTCATAGTAGAATTAAATGGTCCTAAAGAAAAATGTTTACCAGCATTTGTTAAATCTACTTATTCTATCTCCACAATTCTTTAAACTAAATAATGGAAAAGAAGTTTTCAGTAAATATGAGTATCATAAACTTCGTTTACTTTTTCAGGCGGTATCATCTTAGCATTAATTGTAGCTGTTGGTGAATTTATCTATCATGCTAGAAAAAACCATCCTGAGCATAGAGTATGTATTCGTTCGAATGGTACTTTTACTATTACTTACTAGTGGTATTCACACTATTTTTAGCATTCTGTTTGGTATGAATTGTTAAAAGAACTTCGTTTTGCAATTCAATGTAATGCATCAAATCGTAAATCACTAGTGGCTAGACGTTGTTCACAGTGTAAAGGCACTGATACCTATACAACTGAAGAAAATTCACGTACAAATAGTTTACCATCTAATGATATTTCTGCAATATCGTCGTTTAAACGAAGAAAAAAATCATCAAATCGTTCATCCTTTGAATTAGAAGAACGCTCAAAATTTGACACAATTCTATTGTCTGATAATGATAATAATGAACAATTATCAGTTAAACCATTACCATACTATCAAAATTCAATTCCAAATAATATTAGTAATAAAACTTTTCATCGACGTCGATCATCTACATCTCCACCTCCCGACTATCAAGGTACGTTTTTCTTTTGTTGATGTGGTGTAGATGTTAGATCTCATAATCCAAATCTACCTGTTAAAAATTTCATCATGGTCTATTTTTTGTTTTTTTCAAGGACTTGTTCTTGTTGAACAAGCACCTAGCACGAAAAAATGGCAGTTAAATGAATCAACACCGTCGCATCGTTATTGTGATAATTATAAACAGGTCCCGTCGAAAATAAATGTACGACCACAACATGTTCGATTTTCCTCAGGTTATATTTCTATTTTTTAATGTTATACGGATATTAATGTTATATTTTATTTTTAGACACTCAACCATCACCAACATTATCGAATCCCATGGATGCATTTGATGATCTCTCTAGTTCATCTCGTTCGCAGTCTCCTGTTGGACATCATGTTAGCGAATTATGATTTTACTTCTCTTTTTTTTACTGCTGATTTATATACATAGAATCTCTATTTTTCTGTTTTTACCTATGTTTTTATATTATACATTAAGAAAAAAGTTTTGTTATAGCTAGAGAGTAACTGCTCAGAGAATATTGGATACACTCTGGCCTACATTTCTCTCCTTAAATCATTTTATGACCTTTTCTTAGACAAAGATATCATTTTTTTCTATCCCAGACAATCTCTTATAGAAGAAGAGATATTGCTGAGGTTTTTATTGATTTGATGAATTTTTAATTTAAACAAATTTAAAAACTCTTCAAAATCGGTGGTAGAATATCTTGAATTTTCTTAGTCATCGGGTTTGATACGGCGCAGAAAATTGTGCTGTTCATCTATCAATGAGCAGCCTTGGCTAGTGGAGATAATAGTTTGCCTTCTCCTCGGCGCTCGTACAATACACATCAGCCAATCCGCGTAACGATCAATCAAATGTCTGTGCGTTACTGTTTTTGTCATTTTGTTCCATTTATAGAATTTACAAAAAATATCATGAAAAGCTGGAAGCCATCCTATTTTGTAGCTAAAAGTGCACTTGTCAAAATCCATATGAAACTCAATGTAAAATACTGAGCTATTTTTCTGATACAATCAAATTCTAATAGCCCTATTTCGCTGGAAATTGGGTTAGGGCTGTTGGAAAAATCACTATAGCAGAAAACCGATCATATACTTTGAAATGAGTTTCGATCAGATTTTGAAGAGCACACTCTTAGTTACAAAATGAGACATCTCTCAAGTTTTCACGGTCTCGCATTCAAATACTATAAGACCAACAAAAAGAGCAAAAA